GTCCAGGGGCAGGTTGTCTAGATGTGAGCTGTCCAGGTGCAGGCTGTCCAGGTGTGAGCCATTCAGGGGTAGGCTATCCATATGTGAGCTGTCCAGGGGCCAGCTGTCCAGGTGTGAGCCATTCCGGGGCTGGCTGTCCAGGTGTGAGCTGTCCAGGGGCTGGCTGTCCAAGTGTGAGCTGTCCAGGGGCAGGCTGTCCAGGTGTGAGCCGTTCAGAGGCAGGCTGTCCAGGTGTGAGCTGTCCAGGGGCAGGCTGTCCAGGTGCAGGCTCCAGGTATACGTTGTCCACTTCCTTCCCTCATGCTTCCCTCCCCTGCTTAGAGGCAAGGGTGCCTCTAAGATGTCACTACCTGAAGAGCTGAATGGCTCTCTGGTCCCCTGTCGTGGTCTGGCTCAGAACCTCTCAGGTCACAGGGTGGCCAGTGGGCAGGAAGAGAGGCAGGCCAAGGGTCTGGGGAACCCAGAGGCTGTTGGTGGAGGCCTCAGAGCACTGGCAAACTGCTGCCCCTCTCGCCTGTGAGATGCTGGTGGGCAGGGCTCAGAATGGAGGGCTGCTTTCGTACCTGCTTCTCTTCCACTGCCTCTCTGACCATTTATTCCTTTAGGTAGTTATTCAACAGATATTAAGCATCTACTGTATGCCAAGCAGGGAGAAGGGACCCAGGACTAATGCCCAGAAGCATACAACAGGGCCCCTGCCTACTTACTCTAGGGAACAGTTTAGGAGGCAATGATAAGAGTACATTCAAGCGGATTGCTCTGAATCTTGGCCAGGCTGCTGTGTGACCTTGGGCCAGTGGCTTAGCCTCTCTGGGCCTCAGTGCTCCCATGTGTAGTATGTGTTGGATCTGCGTTAGCCTGGACAGCTTGCACAGCTCCAGCCAGGGACAGCTTGCATACAGTAGGCACGTGGCAGTTTGTTTTTATAGCTTGCCCTGCTCACACTGTTCTCATGACACAAAGGATATGTTCCTTTGGACATGTAGGAATCTGGGCACTGTCACTTTTATGTGTTAGGAAACCCAAGCGAAACTCACAGGGGCAGTGGAAAGGTACTGACTGGGCAATTGAGTGATCCCAGGACTTCACGCCTCAGTGATGCTTCTGGGGCACCATGTCCATCTTCTCAGCTTGGGTTTCTCTGATGGTCCTGCCCTCCAGCAGTCTCAGCTCTGATCGCAGCAGCAGGACCCCTGCAGCCCCAGGCTTGCATCCCCTCCTGCCCCAGGCTTGCATCCCCTCCTTCTGCCTGATGTCCTGGGCCTGACTTTCCTTAGACTCCCATGGGCCCCATATGCATCCCTGAACCACCCTGGGCCAGGGGAATGGCATACGTGAATGGCCAGCCTTGGGTCACAGGCTCATCCTGGAAGCCAGGAGTCGGGGCTCATCCTCACCTGGAACCACATAAAGGAGAATGAGGAGGGAGAGGAAGAGGATGGATGCCAGGAGACAGAACACAGGCACTTCTGTGAAGCCTGCTGGACTGGGGACTCATCCAGAGGTCTCTCGGCCTCCACCCTGTGGCTGCCTTTCACCCAGTCTGCCATGTCTTAGAATTAAAACCACAGCTGTGAGAATACTAACTGCACATGTGTACTCAACCCTTCCCGGGTGCCAGGCACGCTGCTGCTCTGTCTGTTAACCCACCTGCCCCTCCCGACAGCACAATGCAGTGGTGCTGTTTTCATCCCTTTTCCAGATGAGGAAACTGAGGGACAGAGGTGCAGTTACTTGCCTGAGGTCAGGGCTGGGAGCAGCAGAGTTGGAGTCTGAACCCAACCTTCCTGGCTCCACCCTACGCTCCCTGCAAGCCATCCCCAGGGTGTCCCTGCTAGGTAGGAGCCTGGGGCCTCTTGAGAGCAGGCCCAGCGCTCAGGTTACCAGCAGTTGAGGGTCTCCCAGTCTGTGGGCCTTACTGCCTGGAGCCCACTTCCTGTCTCCTTGTCCCCACCCGACCTGGCACTTCCTCCTTTTAGTGTTTGGCTTAAGATCCTTTGGTTAAGCCTTAACCAAAGGCTCCTGCAGGTGTGGGGGTGAGCGTGCTGCCTTGCCATTCTCGAGGTGCATTCCCTGACCAGCATACCACTCCCTCCTTTGCCCGCCAGGTGTTCGTGGTGGCGCTGGTGGGCATCGCCCGGGCTGTGGTGTCCATGACAGTGAGCACCTCAGACGCTGCTACAGTTGCTGACAAGGTGTGGCTGGGTTGGCGGATGAGGGGGGCTGGGCCTAGGGGTGCAGGGTGGGGTGCTGGTCCCTGGCTGATGCTCTGCCCACTCTGTCCAGATCCTCTGGGAGATCACCCGCTTCTTCCTGCTGGCCATCGAGCTGAGTGTGGTCATCCTGGGCCTTGCCTTTGGTGCGTGTGCTGCGGGGGCTCTTGGACCAGGGATGACATTCCCCCCCTGCCCCTCTCTGGCTGGGGGCTGGCCCTGACCTGGTAATTGGTGGGGTTCCTACTGACTGGCCACCATGTGTCTTCCAGGTCACCTAGAGAGCAAGTCCAGCATCAAGCGGGTATTGGCCATCACTACAGTGCTGTCTCTGGCCTACTCTGTTACCCAGGTAAGAGGGTGCGCAGGGAGAGATGTTCCGGGGGGCCAGGAGGTGGGTGGAGTGACCACTGCCTCTCATCCTGGGCAAAGGGTGGGTGGGGCGACCACTGCCTCTCATCCTGGGCGAAGGGTGGGTGGGGCGACCACTGCCTCTCATCCTGGGTGAAGAGTGGGTGGGGCGACCACTGCCTCTAGTCTTGGGTGAAGGGTGGGTGGGGCGACCACTGCTTCTAGTCCTGGGCCACATTCTAAGTTGCTATCAGGTTCAGGGTGTTCAAGCTTCAATGGTGTCTGAGAAGTCACCCGGGGTGCTTGTGACTTGGCTGTGTTCTGGGACTTCCCCTGGAGATTTGGGGGTGGTGGGGTGGAGCAGGAGGCTGAGACCTGCCGTTTTCATGAGTAGCACAGGTAGGGAGAATGCGGGTCTGCAGACCGACCTGAGGAACATGGGGCAGGGCTAACCCTTACCCATATCTGATCCTCACCCACAGGACTCAGCTACCACCGGACCTGTTCTGGGTGCTGGAGTAGGGTGGGCAGGATGTGGCCAGGGAGCAAGCTGGGGCAGGCACTGAGGGCCAGGTTGACCTGGCCTGGGTTGGTGGAGAGCTTGGGGGCTTTGCTGATGAGGTGTGTCTGGGCCTGCTGGCTGAGCAGACTGGGGTGGGGGAGACCATGACTGCAGGGTGCAGGGTGGGGGTGCTGCCCCCCAGCTGACTGCTACCCACTGTGTCCAGACCCTATGGACAGGAGGGGGCTTTCCAGTTGGTAGGAACCTGTGCCAGGCTCTCCCTTCTTACTCCTGCAGGGCACCCTGGAGATCCTATACCCTGATGCCCACCTCTCTGCGGAGGACTTCAACATCTACGGGCATGGGGGCCGCCAGTTCTGGCTGGTCAGCTCCTGCTTCTTCTTCCTGGTGAGAGGTCGGGTAGGGCATCCAGAATGGCTGGGCCTGGCGGGGGATCAGATGCATAAGTTCTGGGTCAGGGTCTTGGCCAGGCCCCCACCCGCCCCCCCGTGTCCTCTCAGCCCCCTCCCGCCGCCCCACCCCGTCTCTGCAGGTCTACTCGCTGGTGGTCGTCCTCCCCAAGACCCCGCTGAAGGAACGCATCTCCCTGCCCTGTGAGCGGGGACTCTGGGTGGGAGGGCGCCTCCTGGGTGACACCCTGGGCTGGAGGGGGGCGGGGGCGGGCGCCTGGCCCGGGCAGGCCCTCACCCCTGGCTGCCCCCAGCGCGGAGGAGCTTCTACGTGTACGCCGGCATCCTGGCACTGCTCAACCTGCTGCAGGGGCTGGGCAGCGCGCTGCTGTGCTTCGACATCATAGAGGGGCTCTGGTACGTGGGGCGAGGAACGGGGCGGGGGGCTGGGCAGGGGACAGCGGCTCTGGACCCAGCTCGGGGTGGGGCAGGGGACGGAGTAGGGTGCGGGGCAGGACGCCGAGGGCCCACGCTGACCCTCCCTCTCCGCTCTAGCTGTGTGGACGCCACCACCTTCCTGTACTTCAGCTTCTTCGCGCCGCTTATCTACGTGGCCTTCCTGCGGGGCTTCTTTGGGTGAGTGTGGCCCCTGGTCGCCCCCCACCCCGCGCCGCCCCGAGCTCTGAGGGCCACTGGCGCCCCCATGTGGCCGTCGGCGCCTCCGCACCTCTGTTTCCTGCTCGCCCTCCCTGAGCGTCCACTTCTGGGTGTGGGCTGGGGCCGGTGAGGACAGGGGAGGCAGAGGGAGTGTTTGATGCATACAGTATGTGCAGTGCACACAGACATACACATTTTCCCCACAAAAATGATAGAGGCCACACACATTGCTCTGCATTGCTGTTTTGTATGTAATAATACCTCAGCTTACTCAGCACGCAGTTTATTCAGTACACACTCTATACCAGACACTGCTGTAGCCGCCAGACACAACACAGAGCAAAGTGAGCACAAGTCCCTGCCCTCACGGAGCTTGCACTCCGGCCAGGAGCACCAGGGAGGGACAGTTTGGGGAGGGAAATCCAGCACCTACGTGAGTGTGGGGTGGGGTGGCTCTGCCGTGCAGCTGTGCGTCGGCAGTGTTTAGGGACTGGTGCTGAGACACGTGGGATTGGGGTCCACCTTCAGGCACCAATGTGGCAGGAGTGTGGGTGTTTGTCTCCCTCCCTTTTCCCACCTGCCAGTGCTGTGGTGGGAGGGTGCTGGGCCTCCTGCTGGAGAACACTTGGGAAAGGGCTTAGAGGGGAAGTAGTGAGAAGGGCCAGGCGGACCCTAGCCCACGCTCAAATCTGCACACAGGGCCTGGGCTCCTTGTAAACTGGGCATATGGACTCCCCTTTGGAGAGGATGGAGGGACCAGGTGAGGGTGCAGTAGGCAGTCACATGTGCTGCAGGGCTTACTGGACCAGGGCAGAGGCCACAGCCGGTGTTCCCTGAGCACTTTGGCTCAAGTACCAGCCAAGGCTCATGATGTACCTCTGTTCACTCAGCCCTAACGGCTCACACACACCCATTTCATGGTGAAAAAACAGGCTCACGTGGCCAGGAGGAGAGCCAGGTTTGGTGCAAGGTTTGTTGGACTGCAGGGTCCAGTGATGGGGCCTCTGGGATGGGTGTGAGGCAGCTGTTAGTGTCTCTCTGTATTTGGTGGCCTCATTGCCTGGGAGGGAGGGCTTTGCCTGAGTCACACAGCAAGACTCCCCTCCCTCCCATCTGTTAGGTCAGAGCCCAAGATCCTCTTTTCCTACAAATGCCAAGTGGATGAGACTGAGGAGCCAGACGTGCACTTGCCCCAGCCCTACGCCGTGGCCCGGCGGGAGGGTCTGGAGGCACCAGGGGCCGCTGGGCCCTCAGCCGCCTGTTACTCGAGCACACAGTTTGACTCGGCTGGTGGGGTCGCCTACCTGGATGACATCGCCTCCATGCCCTGCCACACCGGCAGCATCAACAGCACAGACAGTGAGCGCTGGAAGGCCATCAATGCCTGAGAGGGCCGCCTGGGTTGGACGGCCTGATGGGGTCTGTGGAGGACAGTCCAGAGAAGAGGCCAGCAGGCCCAGAGTCCCTGGGGGAGGAGGGTGAGGTTGCAGGACCTTCGGTGGGTGGCAATCCTGTACTGACCCTCTCTGTACCCTGAGTATGGAGACTTCTTCCCCACTTGGGACCCCAGTTCCCTTTGGCCACCTCTCCTCTTGCTGGGCACCCTCCTGACCCTTCCATCTGCCCTCAACCTGCTCAGCCACACACTCCTGACTGACCTCCCAGGGCCAAGATGTGGGCACCTCCTCTCTCTGCTGCCCTGGTGTGCAGGGCTAGCCTGGTCCTCCTCACCCCTCTGCCCCCTCCCCATGGCACTTTGGCCTTTTCAAAGCCCACCATGATTAAAGTGTATATATTTTCTTGATCTATTTTTTAATAAAAAGGAAAAGGAGCAGAGGTATTGATGTGGAGATTTTGTAGGAACACTGGGGTGGTTCCTTTCAGGAGCTTGGGAGCTGGAGTGGGGCAGGGGCTCAGGGGTCCTCTGTTCTCTCATCTGAGGAGTAGCCTCCATTCCCAGCCTGAGCTGGCTGCTGGGGAGGTGGAGAGAAATGGATCCTAGTTGTCTCTGCTTATGGAGCCCGTTGAGTGGGAGAGGCAGATATGGAAAGAGAGAGCTGCCCTTTTTTTTTGAGACAGAATGTCACAAAACATTCTCAGGCTCTCAACAACCTCAGACTCTAGGGCTTAAGTAATTCTCTTGCCTCAGTGTCCTGAGTAGCTAGGATTCCAGGTGTCTGCACATGACACTCTGCTAGTTTTTTTCTATTTTTAGGAGAGATGGGGTCTCGCTCTTGCTCAGCTGGTCTCACACTCCTGAGCTCAAGCCATCCCCCCACCTCAGATTCTCAGAGTGCTGGGATTACAGGTGTGAGCCACTGTGCTCAGCTGACCACTGCCATTTCTTTTCTTTCTTCTTTTTTTTTCTGAGACAAAGTCTTACTCTGTTGCCCCTGGTAGAGTGCAGTGGCATCATAGCTCACAGCAACCTCAAACTCTTGGGCTCAAGCGATTCTCTTGCCTCAACCTCCTGAGTAGCTGGGACTACAGGCGACTGCCACAATGCCCAGCTATTTTTTTTTTTTTTTAATTACAGTTGTCATTGTTTAGCAGGCCTAGGCCAGGCTTGAACCTGCCAGCCTTGGTGTATGTGGTGGCACTGTAACCACTGAGCTATGAGCACTAAGCCAGTACTGCCATTTCTGTGAGCCAGTCTCTCCAGAGGTGCCAGAGAGCTGGGGTGTGGAATGAGCCCCACAGGCCCTTGTCCAGCTTGTGCACTGTCACCTTGGGCCACTTCTCCTTCCTCAGCTTCAGTCTTGCCACCTGTGAAGTAGGGGTAAGGAGGCCTATTTGCAGGGGCCTTTGTAAGGATTAGAAAATAGGAGGATGGGAGGCCACTATATGGAAATGCAAAGTAAGTCCATTATCAGCTTTGGCCTCAGAGTAGTGCTTGGCACCTAGTACACCCTTAGCAGATAGGATGCTGGGCAATGCCGTTCATGATAAGAATGGGTGTGGAGAATTGAGAATGGGAATAGGTCCAAACAGAGCTCTAGGTAAGGGGAGAGAGGCCATGTGCCCGTGCTACTACCCTGGTGCCCAAGTTCTGCATTGAGCCATTGGTAGCAGGGGGCTTGCTGCCAGCCAGATGGTTCCTGTTAATCACAGAGGAGAGTCCTACCAAGGACACGGCAGAGCTGCACAGCACAGAGCCCAGGAGAGATCTCAGCCTGGACTGAGTGTCAGGCTGGTGCCCATCTCAGCGGCTGCATTTCTTAGGAGGGAGCCAAGGGCAGCAGCCCCAACACGGTCACGCCTGTTAGGCTGACATACAGGATCCCCAGGCTGTGGGGCCAGGGCACTGTCGGCAGGCAGGGGAGCAGGTGCAGCCCAGGAGCTGGCCTCCTGGCCGCCAGGACTCCCTGGGGCTGCCTCCATGTGGTATATGTTGTTGGGGCCTCACAGCTTGTGTAGAAGCCGGGCAGGGAAGGAGGGCAAGTCCACAGGAGGGCAAGTCCACAGGAGGGCAAGTTCAGAGTGGGCAAGTGCAGAGCGCCAGATGGGGAAGATTCAGATATCAAACCCCAGGCTGGGTTCCATGCTGGAGGCCTTTGTGTGTGTCTGAGGCGTCCTAGGTCAGCCTGGGCTTGCTGGGCATGGTTGCTGACAAAGTTAGCAGCCGAGTCAACAGAAAGGCATCAACACAAAAGAGACTGGCAGCCTGCTTTTTAACTTTATTTTTAAGGTTTTTAAAAAAATAAGTAATGTATGTACATGGCAAAAAAAAAAAAAAAAATTAAAAAGGCTCATGCAGTGCCGTGGAGCAGACAGTGGAAAGGGGATCCCTGTGTGTGACGTTCAAGGTCCTTGTCCCCCTCCTGGAAGCACTGTCACAGAGCTTTCCATCAGCTTCCCATAAGCAGAGCTTCCCTGCCTTGGAGACACCTGGGCCACTGCCCCCCACCCTCTTCAGAGCCCTGTTACCTCTGCTGTTTGTGGCTCTTGGCCAAACACTGCTCTGTAATGGAGCGGTGAATGGCGCAGGCTGTTCTGGTGAGAGCCTGGTGACTGAGGGAAGACTAGTATCCCTGCTGGCCGTTTATGAAGTTTTCATCTGATCCCCCGTGCTGAGCTGTCTTCTGGGATGCCAGCCTGGGAAGCATTGTCCCCTCCCCTGACCAGCTGTCGGAGCAGAGGCCTAAACCTGAGCTCTATGGAGTGAGCTTGCCCCGCTCCTGATGGTGAGGGCAGCCCCTTGTTGGAGCAGCTAGCCACCATCTCCAGCCAGCTCCAGTGATGCACAGGCTGCCTGCACCTGCCACCAGGGTGTCAGACAGTGTGGCCCTGAACCTGTCAGCACACAGCCTGCCAGGAGAGCACATGTCCTCCAATGGGAGGCCTGTGTGCACCCTTCTGCCTCCCCCAGGGCAGATGACTAAGATGGGGCCAGCCAACCCAGAGGAGCAGCAGTTGAAGCACCAGAAAGTGATGCTGTAGCATGAGCAGGCCTTTCCTCGGTCTCAGAGTGAGTCTGGGGAACAGTGTGGGTACGGAGCTGCCTGCCCAGCACTGAGCCTGTGAGTAGGGCAGGAGCGAGTGGCCATTCACTCTCCGCATGGCCCTGCAGTGGGACTGGGGCGTCCTGAACTGTGGAGTAATCTTTGGGATGGGAAGCCACACACGGCAGTGCAGCAGGAGGAAGGAGCCCACGTCCCTGATGCTGGGCTGTGCAAAGCAGCCCGGGCATTCTGCTCTCAGATGCCTTTTGCAGTGTGAGAGAGATAAACAGCGTCTTGTTTAAACCACTTTGGATTTTTCTTAGTCACAGTTGAACCTAATCTGAACCAACACACGCATCAAAGAGGCGACACCAGCGTTAGTTCCTGCCAACGAGTCCTCACCGGCACTGTGCTGTTCACACGTCTGGTCTTCCTGGAGAGCCCAGCTCACATCTATCTGCTCGAACCACATCTCCTGTGTGGCACTGGGGTAGGAACAGACACTATCCAGAGGGGTGGCACAGATGTGGAGGGTCCTGGAGGCCTGACCATGATGATAGAATCTACCACTTGTAGCCCAAGGTCCAGTTTGACCTCTCCACTGTGGCCACTCATGGCTGTGGGCCTTGGGTAAGTCACATCTCCCTGACCCGCATTTCCTCATCTATGGCAGGGGGTGCAGATGGCTGGCTGTCACTGGTGCCCATTCTTTTCTCCCTCAATAATGTACCCTAATGCTGGTGTGTCACTCCCCCAATGGTGGCCAGGACACAGAACTGACCAAGACCCCAGCACTCCTCCTCCCTGGGGGTTTATTCCAAGGCTTTGCCTCCAGACTCAGCCCTATCCCTGGGCAGGTGCAAAAGCAAGGTCCTTCAGAATTTCACAGGGCTGCAGTCTCCACACGCCAGCCGTGTCTTCCCAGTGGCAGTCCTGTCTCACGCACACAGGTCATTCACAAGGCCGTGTTGCTCAAGTCCTGGGAATTGCCCTGCAGAGTACATGTTCTCACCTGATCCCATTTCCCACCCAGGTTCAGAGAGGTTCAGTTATTTGTCCAAGGTCCCAAGTCTGTGAGGTGCATGTTGGTTGTTCAGTCCAGGGCTGTTGGAATCCGCGGCCTGCGTGTCACACAGGGACGGGGAAGGCGGGGTTGCCCAGCATGGTCAGGCACTGGAGTGTGGGTCCCATGTCGGTTGGCTGGCAGATTATCTAGGAGATGACACTCATTCCAGATGCGGTGTTCAGGTAGTGTCCCAGCCACGCGACACAGGCTCTGCATCCACGGTGTCACTGTGCTCGATGGACAGATGTGGAAACCGAGGGCAGAGAGATCACAGGGCCAAACATGTGGCAGGGTGGGGTTTGAGCCCAGGCACCACTGCACTGCACTGTCATGACTCCAGAGACACCTTCTGCATAGAAGGGGCACCAAGCCTTATCTCTGGGGCCACAGGACCAAGACGGGAGCCGGCAGCCACCTAGAGCCAGTGTGAGCGAAGCAGAGGAAACCCCCACAGGGTTGCCAGGAGAGGACAGAGGGCATCTGGGTGTTCATGGCGGAGTTGGGCCTGGAGTGCACACCTTCTGAGCCTGGAGCAGACAACTTGATCTCAGTGCCAGCTCTGCCATGTCCTCAAATGTGACCTTGGCCATGTCGCTTGCTCTCTGTGGCACAGTTTCCCCACTTAGAATGAATGAGGTGCTGATGACGCTTCGCTGGCTCCCGTGAAGCCCTCTGCCCCCATCCAGCACAGGGCCTGGCACACAGCAGCTTCTCAGTCTAGAGCTCAGCAACCCACTGTTTCTTTCTTTTTTTCCTTTTCCTTTCCTTTTCTTTTTGAGACCGTGTCTTCCTCTATCACCCTGAGTAGAGTGCCATCATTGCTCACAGTGACCTCAAACCCTTGAGCTCAAGTGATCCTCCTGCCTCAACCTCCCTAGTAGCTGGGACTACAGGTGCACACCATACCTGGCTAGTTTTTCTATTTTTAGTAGAGATGAGGTCTGGCTCTTGCTCAGACTGGTCTTGAACTCCTGAGCTCAAGCAGTCCCCCTGCCTCAGCCTCCCAGAGTGCTGGGCTTACAGGCGTGAGCACCACCCTCCATTTCTAAGCATGACCTTTTTTGAGGTGCATAGGGGCTGCTTGGGGGAAGCAGTCCATGTGACTGGCCCTGAGAAGGAGGCACCTTCTGGCCAACCAGACCTGTCCAGTGTTTTATTTCTCATATTATTTGGGTGCTGTGACTCAGCTGGTTGCAGACAGCAAATCAAGATCTGGTAACTCGGTGTGACGAATGTTTAAAGCTGGCTCCAGGAGGCCCTGGGACATGAAATCAGTTCTGCATGGTGGGAGCCGAATGGCATTTGGGGAAGACAGGGCCGGGTTCAAGGTGG